GTTTGACAAGGAGACCGACAGGTAGAGTCCAAACTTGCTTCAGTAAAACTTCTGTACACACATACACGCTCTCTGCACACATTAACTCCCGCACAGACATACATCTGAACACAGAGCCCCACTGCGACTTGTTTCATTCCGTTTCATCCCCACATCAAAAGAGGCTGTGGTACTGTAGCAGTGGGCTCAGACAGAGACCCCAGGACTGGAACATCTGCAGTGAGGACAGCTATCACAGGAGGGACATGCGTGGAGCAGATGTCACTAGCCAGCATAACAGCAGGCAAGGCAGGGGAGCAGAAGCGGCGCCCTGACATGTCACTCACAGACCCCGACACGCAGCTCCCCCACACAATAGACCGACAATATTGCAGCATGAGTGGCTGCAAAACACTCCACTTGACTTTTACAATTAGATCTCAATTAGTTGTTCACTTAGCTGTTAACCACTGATTATGTGGTTAATTTATATTTTGTGCTAGTTTTTTAAATAAAAAATAAAATGAAATGCCAAAGAATGCAACAGAACCCAGGTCTCATGATTTTTTAAAAATATTGAAATTCTTTTAATTTGATATGGCATCTCAAATGCAGCGCGCAGTGAAAAATACTGGAAAAACAAGACACATCAGTTATGGCTTCAGAAAATTCAGCTTTGCCATCACAGGAATAAATGCATATTAAAATATATACATATTAAAATATATTAAAATAGAAAACAGTCATTTAAAATTGTAATAATATTTCACAATATTATGTTTAAATATGTTTTGATCAAATAAACGCAGCCTTAGGGAGCATAAGAATTTTTTTTTTTTTTTTAAATCTTACCGACCCCAAACTTTGGAAATTGCCTGAATTCTTTTATTGTTGCTGTTTAACTAAAGGTAAAACATGTCCGTAAATTATTATCTGCATCGTGTGTTCTCATAAAGTTTCAATATCATTTCATTCGCAAACTTTCCTTTAGATTACTCCTTTCTCCCTCAAAATAGAATTACAGACGCTATGCAAATTCAAACAGCATAACTTTATTTGGAGGCCTCATTAGGGATCCAGATGACTGTGACATGCGCCCCATGATCTTTCTTTATTTCTTTCCTTCCTTCTTTTTTTCTAATTTACTTTAGGGTCCATCTTTTTTTCCAGGACTGAAAGGCACTCATTAAATTGACATTTTACTTTAAATCACTATTCATTACCTATGCTCCCTCTCTTCATTTTCCACAAGTCTAAAGTTTTACAAACAGCAGCCTCATGAGAGTACGAGAGAGCGAGGGAGAAAGAATTAAGACAGCTTGAGAAGCAGTGACAGGCAGAGATGAACTAGATGACCTAGATTAGGCATGATTAACATTCATTGTTGCTTAATTTGGAAAAACAGGTAGACAAGCTCACACACACGTAGGCATCCGTGGCAGAGCAATTAAGCTTAGCTGTCTAGGCTCCAGTGGTGATGTGACATGTCAATCATTCCATTCTTTGGCCCATTTAAGTGTGTGCCAAGCTAGAGACCATGAGATGAAGGCCACTCATGGTGAGCCAGAGATGCTTTGTCAGGTGTCTAAATCTACAGAGGAAAAACTCTACCTCAATCCTCTGCTCACATGCGGATCAGTCGGGAAGAAAAATAATTAAATAACCTGATAAATACTATCAGACAGTTTGCCTGAAGGGATAAACATCCATTACTAGATTCAAATCAGTCGCTAATCACAAACTACTGACATTAAAAGGTGAAAGTTAAAGGATGCCAAGCGAAAAAACTTTCACGATGGGATTCTTGGCTGAGTAAAGCCATTTGCGGAGTTTAGTGAGGAATAAAAGGAGATGCTGTTTGGAGTCAGACGATTTACATATTCCTCCGTGCGGCCACACAGAAGAAACTGACACTTCAGAGAAAGACACGATCAGGGAGACCGTGATTGATTGTGTGATTTGATGGAGAGATGAAAGGAGGAATCAAAAGGGTGCGAGATCTGAGAGTGTACGTGAACGGACACCTCAGCGGTGAGGCTCTTAAGTGGCATTAGTACTGAGATCACATGTAACTGGCAGCCGGTGAGGGGCCCGCTGGTGATGAAAGCTTTCCTCAGAGAACTCTCACCAGCAGTCTTGCATTCCCCGAGACCCATCCCAGCAGTCCTCAAGGGAGGCGGAGAAACACACGTCTAATTATTTATCATAGAAGGTTGAGTGTAAATAAAGAAAAAATATGACAAATTATTTGGGCATCACGCTTGTAAAAATAAACACGGTTCAAAACACGGAGGTTACGTGCAAGTTCACGATGAAAATATGTTTCTCTTACTTTCTTTTTTTTCCACATTTTAGACAATTTGAGTCAAACGCTCAGTGTTAATTTTTCTAAATGAATTACAAAAGAAATGAGTAAATAAAAAAAAACAAAAAAAAAACAAGTCCTTACCCGTCTAACACAGTCTAGTTTTGACAGGCGTTGCTGAATCAACTGTCTCCAGTGGTCTTTAGGGATCTTCTATCACACCAACAAAAAAATGTGAGTAAATGTTTTATTCAAATTCAATTATTAAGAATTTAAAAAAAATAATTTGTCTAAATCAGATCCTTTATATTAATATAATATTAATATGTTAGACCAACATCAACAAATCAGTAAAATCAGAGAGTAAATGTTAAAAAAATGTTGAAATTGAATAATAACAATCGTCAGAGTCAAACAGAAATATAAACCAACTGACCAGTCATTCGTGTGCTTCTAACACGACCATCTAAACCTACCTGAGATATATCTGTTCTATAGTAAATGACTGTCAGTGTCCACCAAAACAATACAATTATTATTAAACAAATACATTCAAATATGCTGTTGAATCTCTAATTACTTATGACATCCTCTGCTGCTTTCATCTCACTCTCCTTTGTGAATTTTGTGAAAATTATAATAATTGGAATCTTTTGGATCGTTCTATTTTAAACTCAAGGCCACGGCGAGTTTAAGTGAGAGGATAATTAGAATAATTAAACCATCGGGAGGCACTTTTCCTAAGCACATCTCTCTCTTTTCTTCTAATTCTACTCAACTCTGCTGATTTATCGACTAACTAGCCTGCATTGCATTTGCATGATCAGACTTCAGACAAAATCAGTTCTATGTCTTTACAATACCACAGAGACAACAATTACTGGCATCCAGAGAGTGTAGCAAATGCTGACAACATTACCTTTCCTACTTATACATCTAAAATGAATATCATGATCAAGCCATTCCAGACTACTTTTCCTTGAAGATACTTTGCCATTACGCAGTAACATGTTGTACACACAAGCTTACACACAGATCCCCTCTTCTAGGCCTCCTAAAAAGGCAATTGTATTCATAACAGTCTATGGTAAACCTTATAGAAGTATGTGTTTTCAAGAGAAAGGACAAAGACTGAGAAAGAGAGACCCCACCTGCTTTTTGTCTTGGTCCTGCTGTGCAGCTCTGCTTAAGTCACTGTCATCCTTTAAGATATCGCTTAAAGTTACGTGAATAGTCTGTGTGTGCTCACACAACTTTTTAGCCTGCGACAAGACAAAAGAGGAGAATCTGCAGCACCATATAAAATGACAGAAATTAAAATACTCTGAACAGATAATGCTGTACAGATGACTGAAGCAGTATTGGGATCTCTGAGGCCTGACGCTGTCACTGTGGTGAATATCAGATTGAAATGTAAGTCGCATTGTCATGACAGGTGTATTTATAAATAAATTTCAAAACTGAAACACAAAACACAAAAGAAACAAATATAATGTATGCAGAGTTATTTACAGGAAAAAAAGACATACACGAGTAAAGTATACACTAGAACAGTTCAACTGTAACAAAGTTTAAATTGCAGAAATTAATTGAACTACTACTGAAAATAGGCACTTACTATGGTTCTCTTCCCGGACGCTGGAGGACCTAACAATATAATTCTTGGCACTGGAACAAATATATTTGTTAAAATTAATGAACTGTCCCCAATACATTACTGATGCAAGGCAACATTATAACTCCTTTAACTTTACGTTATGCTTTTTATTTTGATATTATGTACGACTGCGCCATCTTGTGTTAAAGAATGTATTATTATAAGAATGTATTACCTTAATACTACCTAATTTAAATAATAATTAAACAAAAATAGTAAGGATTTATCAATAGTGCAAATACAGAAAAAAAACCTTACCAACACTGTCCCTTTTCAAGAAGTTAATCAGGTGTTGAATGGGGTCCTCTGGTTTGTCTACCATCAAATTTCTCACTAGTGTCTGCAAATGTATCATTTATTTGATTTAAATTGCCTTCATAAACTTGTTAAACATTGTCTAGTTAAATGTCTATACCTGGACCAGGTGAAATATGTCATGCTTCTCTGCATAAATGGCCATTTCAGGTGGGATTCTGAGGGGCCGTATCGTCGCATCCATCACTGAAGAACACCACACGACACAGAGAGCTCACCAAAGACGTGGAAATCTGTAAATAACTGTAAAAATGTGAATTAGTTCACAAAGGGAGAACTAATAAAACACATAAAATAGTCTTTTATGAGACTAAACGTGTACAAAGCGGGAAAAGACTCTTGAACTTATGTAAACAGAAGGAGGAGGTTTCTGAGGCAAGGATGAGACGTGTTTTAGTCAGTACAAAATAGCAGTAAACAAACGACGTTTTCGGATTGTCCTTTCAAACAGAACAAATGACGGAAATTAACGTACATAGGGGAAATTTGATGAATGTAACGGGAACCACGTAGTTACTTGATTAAAAAGGAGAGTTAAATTAAGAAATATTATATTATATTATATGTAATGTTACCTTGGCTTGAAACGTTGCTGTTGCTAGTTTGCTGTGCGCATGCGTTTGTTGTTACTGTTTGTTGCCAATGGTAACTTGGTCAGCCAATCACCATCACCACGACCAGAGAGAGCACAAGTATCATACTCTTGTTACTGAGCAACGCAAATTCAATTACGCAGAAACAGTAGCGACTCTGCGGAAATTTGATATGCCGTTATAACGCGTACTAATACAGGTAAGTTCTAATATTACATGTCATGAATACTATTTATTTTTACAATATGATCTTTATAATAAAATTCTTCACTGCATAAGTTCTTATTCGGCACTGCACTGCTGTATCCATTTTAAACAGGTTAACTACTAAAATTGAGATGGCTGACGTCAGAGAGCAGCTACTTTCCACTGAGCAGAAGCATAAACTTTTCAAACAACAGCAGTTTATATTTATAACGGCTCTTGAGCGCTCGAGGGAGCACGCCAGGGACAAAACGCAGCCTGTCTCCACCGTGACACAGGTGATGATTTATTCACACTTTCCACACTTTCCAAAGTAATCACACTTTACGGTGTTATGGTCAAATATTCTTATAATTACTTAAAGCGTCTGCTAAATGTAAAAGTAAAATTACACAATAACTACACTATTGTTCTACAGTTTGGGACGGTAAGATGTTTTTAAATGTTTTGGAAAAAGGTCTTCTGCTCAACAAGTCTGCTTTTATTTCATAAAAATAGTAATGAAATATTATTTCAATTTAAAGTAATTATTTGCAATTTTGGGACATTTTAAATGTAATTCATTCCTGTGATGGCAGGCTGTTTAAAGCAGCCAATACTCCAGTCTTCAGTGTCACAAGATTCCGCAGAAATCTTGTTTAGCATGCTAAATTGGTACTCAAAAACATTTCCTATTATTAATAATGTAGAAAGCAGCTATGTAATGTAGCTAAATACAAGAATTATATATATATATATATTAAAAAAAACACCTTACTGACCCCAAACTTTCAAACAGTAGTGTATGTGTACTTATAAGTTCCACATATTATTGCTAATTAGTTGCACTAAATACATACTAATGTAATTACACGGACTGTAACACTGATCTTAAGTTTGACCTTATTAGTAAATAATGATGTTCCTCTGTAGGTCCAAAGGTACTTGAATCACCACTGCAGCAATTCCACAGACAGACGCATCTTCTTGCTCTTTTTGGAAATTATTTCAGGTCTTGAAGGTGTTTTAAAACATTTGGAGTCCTCACTGTCAAGCAAAAACACTTCTAGTGAGGGGCTGAACACTTGCAGGGAGATCCTGAGCCCCAACAGCAACATCAGTCAGCTAAGAGCACAGTTAAGTGACAGGAAAACACACTAGTTATTTAAATTTATATTTAAATTATCCAGCATAAGGATGCTATAGTTTATTTTGCACATTGATTGAAATCACATGGTAACGAACCTCAGTTGTTGTTTTTTTCCTACTTCACAGCTATCCACACAATGAGATCAACCGGCTAAGCTGTGATGAAGCAAGAAATTTCTATGGTGGGATTGTGAGTGTGATTCCACTGGCTCTAGACCTCCTCAACACCTACAGCAGAGGTGCTCAACGTGTCACTCCAACAGCTACAGAAACATCTCAACAAACGGTTGCAAAAAATGCAGAGATGGTTGAAGGCCTTGATAAAGACACCAGTAACAAACGGAGTAGATATAAAAAAGGTGCAGGTGGCTGGCATGCTGGAAAACCAGCCTGGAAGCCACCAGGAAATACAAGGAGATAAAACACTTCTTCAGCACTTATGCATGTATTGCAGTGAGCTGTCACACAAAGTATTATTAAATATACAAATACCATTTTAAAATCGATGACTATGACAAAAATATGCAAAACATATATTTTATTTTATTTTTTTTGTTGATCATATCAAGTAGGACAACACAAATCTGTTTTCTCAAATTTAAAACAGAGTCTCTGGTTACCCGTTACACCCGTCACCGTCTGGTTGTACCATAGTTCAGATAACTTTCAACAAAAGACTTAAGGTGACGGACAGACTTCCTACTTTTTTCAGTAAGGCATTTCGTGAAACAACAAAATGTTTGAGAGGGCTTTTGGTATAAAAACAGAAATTAAAGTCTGAGTGACAGGGAAACGAAGCACAAGCTGTAAGACCACACTCGTAGTGAACTGTGATAAAACAGTCTAAACAGAAAGAAAAACAGCAGTGATTTCCATAGATTTCAATTCTCATTGTAAACTCTCTGAGCCATTTACCCAGCTGGCAGGCTGAAGCCAGCATTTTATTTTCTTTGCACTTCACATATTCCAACAGCACTTCACATATTCCAATAATAGCCTGCACTGAAAACAAACCCTTGGGGCAAGTTTTTTAGAAAGAGACAAGTATATTGCTCTGCTAAGGTTCAGCAATCTTAAGAAGGCATGAATTAAAAAAAAGAAAGAAGTGCTTTTACTTCAGCCAGCTGCAGCCCATTATAAGAAGCCTTTTCTTCGCAGATGGGGTATGACCTGTGTAAGACAAAAATGAAAGAATATAATAGAGGGACATAAGCCTTCTGGCTTTTAGCGAGCAGCTTCCTTTCAGAGTTTAGTGTGTCAAAGTATTGCAGTGGCCGTATATTGTACGCTATTAACACAAGAGCATTCACCCATCAGACACATCTTAGACCAAAAAGATATTCTCGTTGCACAACAGGTCTCAACTGGACAAATGCACCTACAGCAGCCTGGTCTGTGTTCTATAAGGCTCTGACGGTCCTGCAAAGCAGCAATCTAAATCGGTTTATTTTTCCCATCACCACTCATACCTTCGATCTGGCATGAAGTGTTAACTAAGAAGTATTGCACTGGTGACTGGGCGCTACAATCCCAGCGGAGAACTTAATGCATAAAAATAAAATCTATTACTCGAAACAACACAAGACTTGCTTATTCTCTATAGGCGAAGCCCACTGCTACGGCATATACACGGCTCGCCTCAGCAAAGAAATGTGATTTCTTACTCTACCTCACCTATTTCACATAGCTTCTTTTTTTTTGTTTTTCACATTTTTAATCGAACTGATTAGTTGGTTGGCATGATCTATTTACAGTGCTGCATTTGCAATGATCACACTCGGTAATGTGCAATTTCTGAGTCATATCAGCGGAAATTAACAATGCTCATCTCGCAGCGACTCGAGGGGGCATTTTGCATGTAAAAATTAAGGAGGATTGGAAACCGAACGGTACTATTACAAGAGCAAATACAGTGATTAAGTCAATACATTTGCTGAAAAGTACAGTGAGGCCCGAATAACATCCAACGCAATATAATCACCACGGTTGCTCACTAAATGCCGAAAAAAAAAAAAAATATATATATATACTGAATTACAATGAATTCATATTAAACAGAAGGTAAGTGAAGCTATTCTCTTGCCACTGTGGTGACTACATGGCAAATGCCAAGTGACAACCCTTTTCTTTTTTTGGCGTTTTGTAGTACAAGAGCTTTTAAAATGAGCTAAAACTTTGCAAACCACTCTAACAAAAAGAGCAGTGCATTCTAATACTGGGTCCAAAATGATCCTCTTCTAACTGCAGGCAATCATGTCAGCAGTGTACAATCAATGCTCATGGTGGGTCTCGTTGTAGTCCATGATTCTCAGATCCTGCTGCCTCCTCCGCTGAATATTATACGCCCGGGGTCTGTCCATGGGCTGCAGGTCAGCCTGCTCAGTAGCCTCTTCAAGCTCCACGCTCTCTGTGGGGTCTGTGATTGCCTCAACCTTAAGATCCTTAGAGAGGCAGGTAAAGGCGGCCGGCTCACCCTCATAGTGGCTCTCGCTCTTATTTCGAAACATCTCTCTGGCTCTCTTACCCAAAAAGCTTCCGGTACTGGGGTAAGAGCCAACTGCCAGCGGGGAGTCGCAGGGGAGGGCAGGAAATGAACGGGTAAGGGCGGAAAGATCTTCTTGACTGCCATTAATGAGTGCTGTGGGTGTCTGAGGAGACCCGGCAGATATTTCACCATTGATAAACACGTGCATGCCTTCCTCTTTTTTCACAGGGTCGGCTGATAGAGACGGAGCAGATGGGCCTGTACTGTTGCCATTTGGCCTGAAACACAAATGGAAATAGAATTCTACTACACTTTCAACAACCCATCATCTTTCTATCTTATATTTTGCCCTGTAAAGTCTAGAATGCATTACAGAACACACCATTTGTATTTGTAAATCAGTCTGTGGAGGAGAAACATATGTGCATGACAATACGGAACATACCTCTGGTTGGGAGGACTGTTGGGCTCAGAAGTGGGCTCTGCTGGTGATTTAGTGTTCAGGTTTTTGAGCTCTATCTGGCTATAGAGCTCAAGTAGCTCAGATTGTAATGCCTGAGTGATGTGCTTCTGGGCCAGATACCTGTTCTCTGAAGCCTGCAGCTGCTCCCTACAGGAAACAAAAAACCAGTGCAGACAAGGATTAAATAGGCAAATCTTAGAGCAAGATGCTTTTGAAGAGATGAACAGAACCTGATGATCCATACTGTACAGATCAATACAGCACCACTTTATTAGATCTATCATTTGCATCATTAGCAAAAATATCATACCTAATACATAATAAACAGGGTTTAAGTGCAAAACACAGGAGGTTCACTAGTTGTTAAATATAATAAGTAAATAATAAAAATGTAAAGTTAGAATGAGTATTTACCTATTTTAATTATTTAAAAATGCAAACAAAATCAAACTAAAACAATTTTATTTGTTTGCCTGCATTTGACAATAATCAGAGAACCATGCACATACAAATGTGTTAAATATTTAAATATTAACATAAAATATCAAGGGGTACATCAAGTAAATATTTTAAGGTGTTCAGCTGGTAAATCAGTTCTGAAAACCCTGTAATATAATAATATAATATAATCCCCTGTGTAATAAGAATTAAGACTTAGAATCAAACCAATATCATAAAATGAATTTGAACTTTCATCAGGACAATGAAGGTGAAGGTAAGCTCATACATGGCCTGGCTTTTGACATTTTCCAGCAGTTTCTTTTGCTCTCGGATGACTTGCTCTTTCTTGGGGAGTTGGGTCTCCAGGTCTGTGATGCGCTGTTGGGCGGCTTCAAGTCTCTGACTCTGCTGCAGAGAGCTCTGCCTCAAACGCTCAACCTCACGCAGAGAAGATGCCTGCAGCATATTCAGCTCCTAACAGTCACGAGAGATCAAGTCAACAATCAGCATATTTTTCAGGTATAAGAATGAATCGCATTAGCCACTATTTTATAGAGTGCTGTTAAAAAATAAAACTCACAAACTAGAGATCCACTGGTTTATGCTATGATGCAAGTCATAAGTCATGATAAGTCAGTAGTTAAAGGCAGAGTAAGCGATTTCTGGTAGCCAATGTTGATATTTGAAATCACCAAAACAAACACGCCCCTACCCCAAAAGGGTCTTGCCCCTATTTTGATAGCTCCGCCCCACATATACGTACGCAACCCAGGCAACGATTAGTTCTGTGAAACAAAGCAAAACCAATGTTACACCGTGTCTACAGATGTGAGCGGCGCGGCGCAACAAATCCCCGTCAGAAAACTGCTGCCGGGTTCTATTTATGAGGTGCTGACACAAATTTCAAACGGTTTTCAATGGTCGTTTGATCGCGTCCAGACTTTAGCTGTTGTAGACACGGTGTTACTCACCTATTGAGAAGAAACAAAGCAACCTCGGCGTCCGATCGCAGGCCTCCGCTCCTTGAGTTCTCTCCAGCGCTGGAAAGCTGATCCGATATTTACACGGGTCCTACTTCTTGCCTTATCGTTCCGCAGACGTTTTCCTCTTTTGTTTTTTATCCGCCATCTCTATCTTTCTGTCGCTCGGCTCAGCTAATGTCCGTCCCATGCACTGAAAGCTCTCTCCTCCACATCACGAGACGAGTAGACACGCCCCTTATTGCTGATTGGCTACAAGTTTGTTTTGCTATTCGGCCCGAATCAGTTTTCTAAAGTGTTTTTGAAAAATCACATACCCTGCCTTTAATAATCACTGCCTACCTTGCTAACCTCAGGCCCCAAGCGGTCGATTTCCTCCACACATAACTTGTTGGCTTCAGCCAAAAGCAGCAGCTGCTTGTTCAGGAAAGCCATCTGCTGCTCCATGTTTTCACTATTGTTCAGCTGTGGTTGGATAAATCAGGAACACAAATCAAAATCAAGCAAATCAATAAATAAGACCTTTATCTTTTTGCTTTCAAATTATTATTGCAGTGTGATAGTGTTTTATATAGAATATCTTTGTCATAAACAAGTCTTACCTTGATGGACAGCTGGCTGAGCATGTGTCCCATATTACACACTTTGTTATTGGCTTTCTGGAGCTCTGCCTCCATTTCTCCGACCTTCTTCTGATTCTCTTGCAAATCACTCTGTAAATGATGCCACATAAAACATTAGTATTTAACACAGAGCACACATGCTCTTCTATATTCCAGCAATGGAATGGCAAATGCTGACCATTTTTGTGTGCTGTATTGTGAGCAAGATTAACTATGTAATTGTTCATGTCCTACAGCCCTATGATCACCTTTAGCTCCTGCATCTTTGAGTAGTAGTCATTCCTCTCCTTCTGTAGCTGCTGAATTTGAGTCTGCAGTTGGTTCACAAGAGCATCTCTGTCTTCCTGTATATGCCTGGAGCGCCTCTGTTCCTCTTTCAGGCTTACCTGCACAGTCTTGATCTCAATGTCCTGAAGCTTGAGTTGGGTT